ACATGTCCTAGCCATTCACATTTTCCACAGTGACTCCCTTCAGATCGTAAACTCTCCATATATGCCGGCTGCTTCTAAAACTTGTAATATGTACAGTGGGCTGCATGCATAATCAAGAAAGAAAAGGGAATATGTTCCTCTACTTTTCAGCATGTCTTTACCAAGAAGCAGAATTTAAAGCTGAGAGCAAAGGCACTACTATCGGGTATTGTAACTTTTTGAAGATTTTGCCATTTCTTTCGTGTTGTCCCTGCTCTTTTTGACAGTGCCAAAAGGTAAAAACAGCCCAGAGCCTTGCTTCAGATCTATACATTAAAAAAAATAGTATCCTCTATTTTGAAAACTTTCACTCTAGACAGAGAACAACAAAAACAACAAGAAAGACTTCAACAGCTTTAGTGGAAAAGTGCCTTCTCTGTAGTAGATGTCTGGCCTCAAGCCAAAGGCTACTTCAAAAAGAGTGTCTGGCAAACCTGCTACTGTGAGGTATGTGTGCTCCAGTCTCTAGCCCACGCCTGACAGCCTGAAGTCCATCTATATTACAAGTTCCAGAAGTGCGAGGGAACTAGGGTTAGAGGGGACCATGGCTAGTGAAGTACAAACACTACACTTGGTTCCCATGATGGTAATAGACGATTGGTGTAGCTGAGTGCTTTTGGGTCACACTCAACAGAGATGGGACACATAATCATTTCAAACAAATAAATTAAATACTTATTGGGAGTGTTTTTTAAAAAGGAAATTAGTATAGTAGTTTATAACAAAGAACTCTCATTTGAAGACAATTTTCTTTTCTTCCAAAGTTTCACAGTAAGAACCTTGATGAATGACAGCTTTTAGGATACAGTATGTTATTTGCAGGATTTAAATTTGGACTTGCATCCTAGATAAGCCACTTAACCAGATATAAGCCATAGTGTGTTTGGCAAAAAAAAATGGAAATGAATATTATCTATCTCTTTGGGTCACTGGGAGGATTAAATAAGAGGATATCTGCGAAAATGTAAAGCACAATATATTTGACTCTGTACATGGTAGCAGCTGTATCTTCAGTGTATTCAGACAAGCGCTCCTCTGTTCTTCCTCTTCATTTGATATATTAAAGTTGGAGTAAAAGAGATTTGTGAAAAATCAAATTCACTTCATAATGAACGAATTTTTTCCCATAGTTTTGCTGTATAAGGGGAAGGTTGAATGCATGCATCCTTTTACTGTAAGTAGACATGCTTTTAGGGAATCTGCCTTTGCCAGAAAATATTCTATTTAACTTAACACAGTAATATTGCAAAGGGCAGGGTCACCTTATGAACCTTAGACTTTTATGTAATTTTTTTGCATAACGATAATTTTTGAAAGAGAAGCTTACCTGGTTTCAATGGAGGAACAAATTTTCTCCAGTTTACTTTTATTCAAGCTTTTTTGTTTAAAGGATTTGAAAATTCGCATTAGGTTAAAATAAGGTTTGCCACACTAGACTGAGCCTTGGTATGTCAGCCCCTCTGGAGCTTCCATCTCTTGGAAGTATCAATGACTCAGCTCTTTTGGCTGTTGTGGCATCAGAGCATACAGCTGATGGTAGCTGACCCCATCTGCTCTCCATCATTTCCAAGCCCCTTCCATTCTGCCTGCTTTTCACTGAGGAGTCCTTAGTTTGCTGACTGTTCTTGCTGCCCCAGAATGTTATGGAGGAAACTGCTCTCAGATTGGCGATTATTATGTCACCACATCCATAACACAGGAAAACATCACCCTAGAATTCTGGAGCAAACCTAAGTGGGCAAAAGAAACCTGGTTCTGTGTTCAGATGATTCCATTGAACTTGCACAGGCTTCCAAATTCTAACAGCTCAGTCCAAGGGACAACTGTTACGGTTAGGCTGAAGAGAAAAGGAGGTTAATCTGAAAACACAACTAGTATGGTATTGGTTTATGGTGCTGGGGCGTCCTTTGTGAGTGTACATGTTTAATTTTTCCATTAAAATCCTATGTAATTGTTTCCCAGAATCAGTACATATTCTGGGAATTAATAATATTACATTAATTATGACAAACGAATATTCCTAAATGATAGTAATTAACATCTTAATTTTTTTCTAGTGAAATCTTACTGCTTCCCCTTTGGGAAAGAAGAGCTTTCAAAATGTTTGATCATTACTAAAAAGAAAGTGTATATTCAAAATCACTGAATTACTTAATGTTATCCAAGAACTTTCTTCCATTAATATAAAAGGGTCAGACTGTGGCATTCACTGAACCCTAGTTTAAAATTGCTTTGAGGGTGTGTCAGGGAGAGTCAACATTCCCCTAGACAATGCAAAGAAATCCACCTGCTCTTTTTCTACTTGACCTGCTGTCATAGATAAGCGATATACTGGTGAAATTTGCTCTGGCCCTTTATAGACTAATTGGTTTGAAAAATTGAAGAGTTCAATCTTGTGTCTTACCGCGGACTTGTTTTCTGAAAAGTTAACTTAAAGAAACTTTGTTGTACATTAAGTGTAGTTGAAAAAAAAAGAGAGTCAATAGTTTGTCTAGACCGGATAACTTTCACTGTTAGAATAGTACCTGGTCTTTAAAAAGGTAGAGTTTATAAAAAATGCACATATAGTTTTTCATAAATCTCAAAAATTGTTCTTCCTTTAAAAGCAAATCATCAGGCTTTCATATGGTTTAAAACTTTTTATAAAAACAAAAATACAAGTTTTGTCTGAAAATAACATCAAATTTTTTTTTTTTTTTAATAAGAAGTAAGTTGGCCATTTTCCCTGAATATATTGAAGCAGCTTGAGGAAAAGACATTCCAAAATGTAAGAGAACAGTTACTATGGAGAGTTGACACCTGAGTTACCAAAATGTGAAAGTGATCCCATGTTCTATTTATTTAAATTTTCATTATATGTTTTATGTTACCCTCCAGGAAGCAGGCGAGGTGAATTCTCAGAAGGATAGGAGAACCCTGGGTCTTTACTTTCTGCGCCAACGTCCATAAAGAGTAAAAAAAGCAAATGCCTTGACCTCAAGCAGATTTGCGGAATAGAACACTGTCAGCATCATACGCCCTCTCTGGGCTAAGCCGATTCGCTGGCGCTTGAAAGGCTTTAAGAAGGAGCTCAGAAACATTTTCTACGACCTGAGGGAGGTGCAGCTGTCATGTCAAGCTTCTCACTGCACTTGGAGTGAAATCCAGGCGCTGCTTACTCTGACACTCCTTCACTACACTTCCCATTCCTCACAGGCCATTAGCCACAGGCCCCCTTCAGTTCCCAGGACATTTCATCCTCTTGCTCACCTGAGTGCATGCCTACACCCTTCTGCCCTCCCATTTCTTGGCTAACACTTCCTAATGCTTCTGGGCTCAGCTCCTTAACCATTCCCTCACTGTCCTATGAAATAAGATTTCCCCTTTTGTTCTATCTTAAAGCTCTTTATACTTTTCTACCTTAGTGCTGATCCCACTTGAAATTATTTATAAGCTTATTTATTGGATTTCTGTTCTCCACTAGACAGTGTGCTGCTTAAAAGCAAGAATCATGTCTGTTTTATTCCTACGTGTATACTCAGCCTTTGAAGAGTGCCTGGAACATTGTAGGTTCTCAATTAATATGTGCAAATGAATAGATATAAGCCACCCCTCAAACTTTCAATCTATAAAGTAGAAGATTAAATCACATTTTAAGGAAGTGAGTTAAGGGAATTAACTAATAATCAGTGGCTGTTATGCTGATTATTTTCCCCATACTTTCTTTTATTCCTTAGAATAATTTAGTCTGTTTAACATAATTTCAGGCAGTAAATCAGGGGAGGAAAAGCCCTAATATAAGAAAACAAAACTTTGCTTAAAAAAAGCTTAGATTTATTAATTTGTGATAAAAATTATATTGGAGTTGATAATATGTGATTTAGTAATTAGATGTTTATATCTAGGAAATAAAAGCATATTTTAACTGAACCTAATTACAAATTACAAAGAGATAAGTCATTGTGATAATTGTTTAGTTTTTAACATAGTCAAATGATCTCTAAAGTGACAACAGAAGAAAAGATAAATGAAGAAATCAATAGAAGAGTTTTAAAATTCTGGTTTTAGTCTAGGAAAACAAAATTACATTGAAACAACTAAGCTGGAGTTCTCCTCTGCTTATCCCTCTAACTCTCAAACAATGCACAAAAGTTAAATGAACTAAGTTAGGGAACCAGTAATGGTTTCCTTTTAAGTAGTGCCTTTCATCTCAGATTCTGAATGAATATTCTTCAAAGGCATCCCTCTGTTTTATCAAGGAGAACTAAAAGCTGACATGACATTCCTGTGGAGTAAGTGCATAAACAGATTCGTGGACAGTAATAGGTCTCAGCAGGAAAGAAGCCAAGATCTCAGCTTCCAGTTCACTGCTCTCAACAGCAGGTTCATTCATGAACTTCTTCATTTATTCATTAATATTTATTGAGTTGATTATGGGTCAGGCTCTGGGGAAAGTCTTGGCAATATAATAGCAAAACAGAGATAATTCTTGACATTTCTATAAGGAAGTATTGATTTCATCAGTAAGTCTGACCCTAATCTGACCTTATAATTATATATTACTATCATGGGGATTACATTTTTATATCTATATCTATTACATTTATATATTTTTAAATGTGTGTGTATATACATGTATATATTTGTTTAGTCACTTACAAAACAGGATTGCATCTTTCCTATCAAAGCACTCTATCTATAATAAATGGGTTCCCTACAGTTATTATAGCAAGGAACTAAACACAAAGTTATCTTTTATCAAATGATTTCTTCTTTTTTATTTATCATATTCGTCTACCTCTAATTTTATTTAGATCAGTGATTATTTAAGGTCTTTGTTTACTCTTGACTATTTCAAGCAGACAACGCCAAAGCTTGGGTAAGATACATATTAACCAAAACCAAAGTCCAGTGCTATGGATCAAAGTGGCCTATATATCCTTTATTAGAAGACAAACCTTGAAAAGTCCAGTAGACCTTACCTTCTTCCACTGTGACAGTCTGTTCTGAGGCTGGCGATGGAGGTGGAGAAGGAGGCAGATTAGGGGTTTCTTCAGCTGCTAAAGAGCAAACAATGGAAAAATGAGATACAATTAATCCTATTAGGCTGGTAGATGTGTAGGCAATTTTGCCATTTAAAAAAGGCCTCTCTATAAAATTCAGGAAAAGATTCAATAGTAAGCTGCATTTGACTTATTTTTAGGCCCACGAATTGGTTCATATATTTTTAAATTCAAAAAATAAGACAAATGGCCAGGCGTTGTGGCAAGTGCCTATAGTTCCAGCTACTCAGGAGGCTGATGCAAGAGGGTCATTTGAGCCCAAGAGTTCGAGGTTGCTGTGAGCCGTGATGCCACAACACTATTCCAAGGGTGACAAAGTGAGACTCTGTCTCAAAAAAAGAAAAAAGAGAGATAAACATTTAATGTTGCTTCAAAAACAATCATTTTTTTCTTCTCGATAAAAAATGGATTAAATGCCTGCTAAAATTCTATCATTAATCTCATTAACTTGTGTCTATTCATTCAATTAATAAAATATTTCATTTTGGCCCTAACGTAACATATAAAGACACGGTCATTGTAGTTTGGATTTAGGTAGACTGAGAAAAATATTAAAATTCTCTATTGCTAAAGTGCTTGGTCTAGAAATAGATTTTACCTTGATCACTTAGAGTTATTTCAGGAGACTTACTTTTAAACATTTGTCCTTTCAGTCTAATGTCAAAACCCATCTTTTGTTAGGTATGTTCAGAAAGCAAAAATGGAAGATTTCATAGCCTGAGGCGATCTAGACAGGACCCGTGTGGTTGTAGTAGAGGCTGAGTAACCTTCCGGCCTTGGCACTATATGTGAAGGAACAGAGGAAGCTGCTAAAACGTGTGATTCATTCACAGTTCACTCTAAGTTTTCCTTTTCAAGACACTTACCTTCTTTATGACCCTTCATATCAAAATAAGGAAGTTCAAAAGGAAATATTTCTCATCTAAAGCCAGCGGTGACATCTACTTTAAAAATTACACAAATTTCGGTTTCATAAAACAGTTAGTAGAGGCAGCTTTGGGATGACAGATGACTGCTTAGAGTCTTACTCTGTGGGCTTCTGCATGGCATATTTTAAAAGTTCAAATTTAAAAAATGGAGTTTTACTGCAAAGAATATAAGCAAAGAATAGACTGAAGGTTATTGTTTCAGGTTACATTTTTTCCTATTTTAAGAGAAAAATAGTCCTTGATAATTAAAAAAAAAATCAGTATTAAAAATACCATATTGAGTGTATTCTAAATTATTATTCTGGGAAGGAAGAGTATTCTTATTCCTTCCTTTTTAACAGACAAAGGGGCACTAATCATAAAATTGAATATTAAGGATGCATTAGCCTATATGAGAGGAAAATGGATACGTGGTAGTTTTAGACCTTAAAAACTATGGATCAGGTATATATAACTTTTAGGTAAACATATCTGTTGAATTTAAAAGAGACTCCTCCCTTGTATTTCTTCACGTATATTCAGATACAGCTATTTGTCTGTCAATCAATCAATCAGTAGGGGTAACAGCCCTCAGCAGAGAGTTTACGTTGACAAACAAGCGTTTCAGTATTTGTCTTGCCCTGGAGGGCTTTTGACTTGTGATGAAGGGACAGGGCAGTGATATCTCAGTGACCTTAGATGAAAGAGGTACCTCGTATGAAATACAAAGTCAGGGGATTATAACAAAGCTCTGGTTATAGGTTCAGGAAGCCAGGAAGATCCAAACCAGGCTGCAGTGTAGATAATCATTCACCAAAATCCATAAAGGGAAACAATCACCTCCAGCAAAAGTCTTAATACATTTTCCTTATGGGTGAGATTCATTAAATAAAAATGCATTGACTTCACTTTTCTAACAACTATCTGTAGCGATCCAGAAAATGAACTATTAAGAGCCATTTATGGAAAAATCTAACTATAAGCTTACCACCTTAACTAAAAACCTACCCAAATACCGCAATGAACAAGGTGAAAAGGTGAAAATAGGTCCCAATACATTCCAGTAGGTGAGTTTGATGAACATTACAGGTAAAGACGAAGTATAAGATATGGCTTATCTTTGGAGCATGAAGACTTTAGCCTGTGATCAGGTGCGGCAGACAAGCCACCTGACCTGAGGCCCTTCTCATTTACCTAGAGGCAGAGGTGCGGGCTGGTCTTTATGCTGAGCTTCTTTTTCTTGTTCACCTTTCAGGACCGCAACAGCCTCAGCAGTGACTACTTGAACTATCCTTGCAGACACCTCCTCTGTAATGAAGAGTAACAAAAGAAAATACGGCAATGAGAAGCCTAAAACAGCCACGAGGAAAAGGAACCCAGTAGTATCGTGGATTTAACTTCATTTTCACTGTTTCTCCTTAAGGGACAATATAATCTTTAATTGCAGATAAAACAGAAACACATACATAACATAAACATATACTGTATATATATACTAAAAAAAGAAGAAACGAAATCAGCATTTTGGGAGCTAAGCTAAACAAAATGAACACAGTTAATTTGCATGGCACTTTATTTTTAAAGATCTGTTGACACAAATAGAAACAATTTAATATCTAAGAGCCTTATAAAATAGATTCAAAGACAGAAGACAGGATTCATTTTGAATTTAACCTTAATGCATTTCACAGTTTCTTATACTAGTCCAGAAAATATCTTTCAAATTTGGTGTATGCTGATTTGCAAAAACACTATGATTTGAAACATGAAGATGCCTTGAAATGTATATTTGTGATTACATGACATTTTCCAGATAAAATAAATTAGGAAAGGAATAAGGTAAATGAAGGAATAAGATAAATTATGAAAAACTTGGAAAGATTAAAAAAAAAAGAAGAAGCTTGTCATTAAAGTGGTCTGTCTGTAAGATTCCAGATAAGTAGTTTTTAGCTCGAAATGTCTTCCACTGGAGCAAATCAAAATTAATTTTGCATAACGTAGTCAAAAAAGATTAAGGAAATGATGTGCATATCCTTTTATCATCAACCAAAAATAGAAGTAGCCTTTTAAAATCAGAAATATATTATAGAATAGATATAAATTCTACAGACTTTCACTTTCCATCTTCTTTATATAAAAGTGTGTACGATACTGGGGAAACAAGCCCAATTATGGCTGTGTTAGAAATAAGTTGTACTGGATAAAAGGAAGCGTGGTAGGATTTTTTTTTCCTCATAATTTTAGTAAAGATATCAAAATACATTTTTCTTGAAGTTCTCTTATAGCTGACGATCAAACTTTGCGCACTCACAAGCTCCCTGTTGTTAGCTGGTGGGCTCATTTATATTCTGCCTTCCCTGGAAAGCCTTCCACATGCCACCCAGGATGACAGAGAGTATAGTGACCCTAGACTTTGGGAATCAGTAATCCGCTTGGACAGAATTTATCTGAATTTTAAAAGCTGGATTACCTGATTCAGAGTATTTGCCTTTATCTGTTTAGCTAACTGATTTCCCCCCCTAGACACATGACTATGTATATTCTGAAGGGATGCATTTCACACACTATATTCTAGGCAGTAGTAACAGCAGTAGAAGCAGCATTTAAGAAATATTATAGTTCTCCTCATGTGCTAAATACTCTGCTAAGGGATTTGTCCTCATTAATGAATGATTTGCTATTCTTGCTCCCATTCTGTAGAGGAGGAAACACAGGGTTAGGCCAGAAAATTTCATATTCTTATTAAAAGTATCATACCTAAAATATCAATTTTAAAAGAACTAAGATATTATAAAGTCCCTTATATACTAAAACTAAACTAAATGTGACTGAATATTTCCTTTATGTTAGGAGTGTCATTTCTGTGGAGCTAGAGCCCTAATTCGAAATTCTATTATTCAAAGATGAAAGTAAACATTGACGTTGATTAACTTATTCTGAAAGAGTTTTAATTTCTTAGCAAGGTTTCAAAAAAATTTGGTCATATACCGACACGATATACTTTGCAGCCTCAATTTAGTTAAAAACAAAGAAGTATGTTTTTCTTTATTACTGCAAAAATTACTGTGTGCATTATAACTTCAAAATGAAGCAATAGTAATGATACTATGTATTATATTACAATGATGCTCTATTCTACACAATCCAATTTAGTATCACACAATTTTAGCACTAAAAGGGCTTTTAGAGATGATTTTGTCTAAATCCTCTAATTTTGTAGCTGAGGAAATAAGGGCAGGCATGGCTATGAAATTTGCCCAAGTTCACACAGTCAAGAGGTGAACTGACATTAGAACTCAGGCTTCCTGATTATTATCTTGTTCTTTCTCTTAAACAAGGGAAAATAGAAGAGCCAACAAGCAAATAATCACAAAACTCTCTAAGAGTCAGGACTTATGCAAAATTTAGTACCTTCCTATGGCATTTGGTACACTTTGCATGACCCTATGTAGGTACACAGGCTCATCTCTCCCATCGTGTGAAGATTCCCATGTCAAGGACTCCTGTTTGTCATTGCTGCAGCTCTTGAAGCTCCCCTTACTGCGCTTTACCCAGATTTGGTGCTTAACACGAGTTATTGGAAAGAATGAAAAATTAGCACAAAAATTTTGTTCATATTTACACAAATTCAAGAATAATTCATGTTGTGACTTATACTTGCTAACTTTAAAACCCTCAAATTATCTCATTTGGTCTATTATTGTTTAATAATATATCATTATTACAGTCTTTCTTAAATGGGGGCCCCGGGATTCTCGTGTGCCTGTTGAAAAGAGAAGCTAGCCCAATATATTATAAATGATACAAGTATCTTTTGATTTATGAAAACAAATTATGGGTAAAAAAATGCTACCGTATTTTAGTCTTTTCTTGTTTTGGGTTATATTTGGAATATGGTTTTGACACCCTGAATTATTTTAAATATGAATTAATTAATATTAATTATTTTAAATATTAATTTTAAATATTAAGATTCTTAATATTACATAAGAAGAGAACGGAGGTGAAGTTAACATATAAAGGATGCACTCATGCAAGTGCCAGAAATGCTGTGATGCACTGTACAAAGGAACCTCAGGAACAGGAACAACAAAAACAGTTGAGGGGAGAATTGAATCATTAGTCTCTAGGGATTACAGACATGTCCAACCTAGACAGAATGCTCTGATCTTTCTAATCAGCCAGAATCCATTTGATTGTGATCAGTAATTTAGTTTCAGCAAAATGATGTCATTTATTTTCATAAGCAGCAGGAAATTTGAGTTTTATTGGTTTTGTTGTTTAAGTGAAAATTAATTTATAGATGTGCTTCACAGTTCCACAGTGGAATAAGAGCTAATGAATAAAATGATTTCATTTTTATACATATTTAACTAAAAAGTGTAAGAAAATGATTTAACCCAATCTTAGGATAATTGATACTTTTTTTTCTTAAGAGGAATTTAATAGATTTTGAAAAATGCTATTTAATATAATCAAACAGGTTGCATGAGGGCCAAATTTGCTCTGGCTTAATTGATATATTTTCTTTAAGTTTTTTAAATAGAATAATGTTAAAACGTTTCAAGTAGGACTTAACATATTTTATAATATATTTTTCATGGTGAATTTAGGAAAACATGAGCATTGTTCAGGAGATTCAATTGGTATGGTCAATTTAAAGTCTTTCTTCAAGCGAAGACTATTAGCAGGAGAGATGGCAGCATTCCCAAAGGACAGAGAGCCTCTCACAAAGGATTCCTACTCCTTTGATCAACTGGGTGAGCTTCATCCTTATAGCCTGGGACAGGAGCAAATTCACTCAGGATTTGAGTAAAGTTTAGGGTATATTAGTGGTCAATGTGCCAAATAAACATAGAAGACAAGAGAAGACACTCTCAAAATCAGGCCTATAAAAATAAAAATGCAATGGTTATGATGTGTGTGTGTGATTTGTATAAGATTTCTCCATTTATCTATTAATGCCTCTCTCCATCCACCCATCCATCCATCCATCTATCCATCCAACCATCCACCCGTCCATCCATCCATCCATCCATCCACCCACCCATCCACCCATCCATGCACCCATCCACTCATCCATCCATCCATCCTATCTATGGCTTACTATCTTTTTAGTGTACAGTAGAAGAAGTTTCATAGACTTCAATTTAGAGACAGACTCCATCATTGCTACTTTCTGTTTATTTTATGCTGAGAGATTTACTTAAACTCATTGTGCTTCAAGGCTTCACCCATAGAATGGAAATATTAATGGTACTTGTCAAAGAGGTGGTTGTGGAAACTCAGTTGCATAATCACATAGAACAGGCTTGGCACATCAAGGAGCTCACACAAAACGAAGACTTCCAGATAGATCTTCACCAAGGTATCTTTATTTTCCCATAGTTGTGCATTCTGCTGAGTCTTAATATTTTTAAAGAAAGAACACAGCGATATGCACTAAGGGTCTAGCCCAACAAGGCTATTATTAGCCTGATAATACAATTTATCAAATATCACTGATGTGGATGACCATGTTGGTGGCCATGTAAAGTATTTTTTTTGCAGACAGAACTACGAGGGGAGTAAATATTGTCTTTGTGATTTATGTTCTGGCTTCATACCCAATTTCCTGGCTGTGTAGGTCTTAGGCTACCATCTGCCCGAGATTCCTGCCAGCAGGTCCCAATTCAGGACTGTCTTCTGGACAGAGTTCCAAAAGGTACAGTAACTGTCTACTCTTGAGGACAATTAGCAATACGAAAAATTCTCTTTGAAGTAGGAAATTAGACCACATTTTGATTTATCACTACTTACTTGATCTACCTTCTATTCTTTTTTCTACTTTCTACTCTATTTTTGTGCTATTCCTTCCAAACATATGGGTAAAGTCATAAATAAAACTTAGTTGCTTAGAAGGTTAATGATAAATCTAGAGTGTGTATAAATTTGGACACTGTGATTTATTATATTTAATTGATAGGTAAGATTGATTTTCACAGCTTAAGTTTATATAAAACTGCTTATAGTTATCTGATATTTGGAAGTCCTAATTACCTTTCTTTTGACTTTCTAAAACATTCTAGAAGAGGACATTTTTAGTTTATGTTAGAAACTATCTTGGGCAAGGAGTGTGATGTGTATTTTTATTCTCTCTTTTATGAATGGATGTCAGGATTTCAGTGTAACTTGCAATAGTTTTTGTATTACAGTGAGAACTTTATAACCAGTCTTGCACATTAACTTTTTATTTTATCAGTAGTGTTAATTGGATAATGTCACAGTTTCTACAAGTAATAAAAAAAATCTCATGGTTATAAAATCAT